TAACAATTATTGTCTCCGCTCTAAGAAAGTAGGACGTAAAGTTGTACGTAGATGTCGTTTTGGATTTCCTCGTCCTGTCACAGAAACAATAAATATAAGAGATGTTGCAAGTTCGATAGCAGGTAGAAAACATTTAAAACAAAAGTAGACCTTACGATCTTTCTTGAACAGAGAATGAAATTAATATAAATAATTATAATCCTGTCCTTCTTACTGTGTGTGTGTGTGCGTGGGAAGGAAATATGGATATACAATTTATCGGTGAGAAGTCAACATTGCGTACATGGTACGTCACCAAGTATATGAATAAAGCTGGAAAATGTGAATTATCTAAATTTATTATCAATAGCAAAAATACTCAAAACAAATCATTAGGAAGTTACCTTTGGAATATTGCTTTGCGATTTATGCATAATAAAGAATGTGAGGCTCTCGAAGCTGCTGACACATTGTTAGGTATTCCTTTATACGGAACGGATCGAAATACGACTATTAGATGGCTAGATGTTAATCTAATACGATATAGAAAATTAAGAAGCCGCAAAAAGATTGAAGAACTTGATAGTGAATCTACGGATATATTTTGTCCGTCTTTGATAGACAATCGTTATCCAGATAGACCGAAAGAATTGGAAAGCGTGTCTCTTTATGAGTTCGCACAGTGGTACGACATCACAAAGAGTAAACCGAAAAATAAGAATGTCAAATATTACAAAATAGATAATGGTCTTTATCTTAAACAACGGAAACGTGAATATCTTATCAATCACTACAAATACTATGTTAATATACAACCGGAGAATTATTTCTTTTTATTATTACTCATGTTTAAACCATGGCGAAAATTAGAAGAACTTAAAGAATGTGATACATATACAGAATCATTTCACAAAGTAAAATTACATCTGATAGAAGCATTGCAATACCATGAAAAAATAGAAGAATTACAAAAAGCGTTTGAAGCTGCAAAACAGTTAGTTCAAGAATATGATGATAAATTAGAGAAACAAGATATAGATGATCCAGAAAATCCAATAGGTATTCAAAACATAGAAGCTGGTGAAGCAATGCAAGATTTTAAAGATCTTGCTGAGAAAATAGACAAAGAAGTCGATGTATCTGATATGATAGCAAAATTAAATACAGATCAAAAAAGAGTGTTTGATAAAGTTGTTAGCACTGTAACATCGGATGAATCGATTTTACGATTATATATTAGCGGAGAAGGTAGAACTGGAAAAAGTTTCTTAATTAAAACCATCAAATGTTGGATAAAACAAATTCTCAACAAGGATACTGCTGTAGCAGCTCCTACTGGTATTGCAGCGTTTAATATAGACGGTTTGACAGTTCATAGATTACTTCAATTGCCTGTTAAACACGGTTTTATTCCGAAATATAAACAATTATCTGATCATGTATTAAAAGTTTTACGAGCAGAACTCAAAGATGTTATTCTCATTATAATTGATGAAGTGTCAATGATATCTAATTTGACTTTAATGTACATACATCTTCGATTGTCTCAAATATTCGATACT